AAATATGACTGATAAAGTTATCTTAGGAACACCATTTATATTTTTACTATACCCATTTACCACCTCTAGTGAAGGAATAACTACTCATGTTTTAGGGCAACCTGTTACTTTTAAATTCTTATCTCCTCCTGAAATATTAGAATTAAATCAATTAAAAGATTGTTTTATTTCTCAAACGATTAATCGATTAACTCGTTATTTAAGATATCTTAAAGAAGAAATTAATTACAAAAGAATTGATCAGCAATTAACTAATCCAGTTATTATTTCTCAAATTAATGAATTTAAATTTAAATTAGAAACTACCGTTTGTTCTACTTTACCTACTGCATTTTGGCATAGGAAAAAACATGTAGTCACTTTACCATACATTAAGAATTTTAATGAGAGACAAATTCCTACTAAATCTCGACCTATTAAGATGAATCATGAATTACTTGAAATGTGTAAAAAAGAAATCAATGAACTATTAAAAAATCGAATAATTAGTCCAAGTAAATCACTTTGGTCATGTCCTGCTTTTTATGTAAATAAAAATGCTGAATTAGAACGAGGTGTCCCTCGCTTAGTTATCAATTATAAACCATAAAATAAAGTTTTAGAATGGATTTGATATCCTATTCCCAATAAAAAAAAGATTTGACTAAACGACTTAGTCAAGTTGTTATTTTTAGTAAATTTGATTTAAAAAGTGATTTTTGGCAAATACAAATCCATCCTAAAGATAGATATAAAACTGCTTTTACTACACCTTTTGGTCACTATGAATGGAATATCATGCCATTTGGGTTAAAAAATGCTCCTAGTGAATTTCAAAATATAATGAATGATATTTTCAATCCATTTAGTCATTTTTCCATAGTTTATATAGATGATATTCTTATTTTTTCAAAATCAATTAGTGAACACTGGAAACATCTTACTGCATTATTTTATACCATTAAGAGTCATGGTCTAGTCATTTCTGCTCCTAAGATTATATTGTTTGAAACCAAAGTTAGATTTTTAGGTTATGATATTCACTAGAATACTATTTTACCTATTAGTCGTTCCATTGAATTTGCGTCTAAATTTCCTGATGAAATCTTAGATAAAACTCAACTACAACGTTTTTTAGGATCACTGAATTATATTGCTGAATTTTACAAAGACCTTAGGAAAACTTATCAACCTTTGTTTGATCGGTTAAAAGACAATCCTCCTCCTTGGTCTTCTACTCATACTACTATTGTTAGACAGGTTAAACAATATGTCAAGACTCTTCCTTGTCTTGGTATTCCTACTGAAAATTCATTCAAAATTATTCAAACTGATGCCTCTGATATTGGTTATGGTGGCATCCTTCTCCAGAAAATTACTCCTCAGTCATCTGAACAAATTGTTCGTTATCATTCTAATGTCTGGAATAAAGCACAAAATAATTATAGTACTATTAAACAAGAAATTTTATCTACTGTTTATGTATTAGTAAATTTCAAGATGATATTTTAAATCAAAAAAAAATTTCGTGTTAATTGCAAATCTGCTAAATATGCTTTAGAAAAAGATGTTCAAAATCTTGCTAGTAAGCAAATTTTTGTTCGTTGGCAATCTATTTTAAGTATTTTTTATTTTGAAATTGAATATATACCTGGTTGTCAAAATTCTATTCCTGATTTTCTTACCCGAGAATTTTTACAGGGTGGATAGTGAATTACATCATGCCCATTCCCTCTATTCCTTACTATAAACACCAGATTAAACACTATAAAACCTTAGTCAAACATACTGCTCGTCGCCTTGCCTTTCTCAAATCAACCCATTTATCTACTAAAAGAGCCCAGTACATACAATTTCATCGGATTAAAGCTCAGAAACAACAACTTTCTCATTATATTAACTATTTACATGAACATACTAATCAATTAGATATGCTCAGTGGATGCTAATTTATCTCCTTTATTTCACAGATGTCTCATCCACGGCCTCCTTCCAAAGCCTTGGTCCCTTCTAGTCAACCTTTTGTTCCGCCTCCCATGGAGTTAGTAACGAAATACCATCTTACTGAATTAGTTAACCGTTACCAAATTCTTGGTATCATTCCTAAACCTAGTTATACATCTGCTTTGGCTACTGATCCTTTTGTTTCATCTAGTCAAGCAATTACTCCATACCCTCATAATCCTATTAAATCAGCTCGATCTGATTATGTTAAATCCACTACTACTAATATCTTTTTCAAAAAACCTAGTTACCCAAAGAGTCATACTGTTCATGATCTGGTTAAATCTTATTTTCTTCCTGGATGGCATTTTATTCCTCTTCATCCAGAAAAAACAATTACTTTCTACAAAGACATCCTGTTCAACCATCAGTCAATTGTGATTAAACCCATTTATGATCGCACTTACACAAGTAAAATTGTGTACCATTCACTTTATATTCACAACTTTGTTTCTCTGGTTGATTGGGGTTTTCCTTATCAGCTATGAGATTTGTCTGGTCATTCAATTCAATACAATTACTATGATTACATTTATACTTGGTTCAAAGTCCTCTTGTATCAAAATGAGTCAACACAGTCACTCTTGGTTTCTTCAATTTGATCAAAAGTTCAAATCCGAATTACCTACCTGGATTCTGCGATGGTGGACTAAGTATGGCGCCATTTCAGCAATCTTCCCATCAGTCATTATGGATCAAGTCAACTATTTTTCCACTGTTTTCTCATTCACTCCTCAGCAAAGGAAATTCCCTCTATTACTTATTTTTATATCAAAATACAAAATCCCTTGGATATTCAAATAGCAATATGGTATTTCTGATGATGTTATTTACCGGCAACACATGGTTAAATGGTGGGATAATTTCAAGATTCCACGAATTGTTGAAATTGTTCAAACTGAATTTCCAATCAACATTCATGCCCCTACACCTGCCATGATTAAAGCTCAGCAGAACCCAACTGCTCCATTAACACAAGAAAGCCAACTTCCTCCAATCAATCTTGGAAGGCCATCACCCAGTTCTTCCAAGCCCAAGTCATCCAAATCAAAGATTAAATCCAAGTCAGCAAAGCCCAGTACTGACCAGCCCACGTCAAAGAATAAGTCTAAATCAAAGGTTAAGCCCAAGTCCAAGTCGTCCAAAGATGAGCTCCTCCAAATGGCTCGTCTCCTCATGGCCTAAGCCAAGTCAGACTCGAGTAATAGCAATTCAGAAGACGGTTCAGACAGTTCAAACTCTTCTGAAGGATCAACTACTCAAAATCGATATGGACCCGAGTTCCAAGATGCTCAGGACCCATATACTTAATTTAGTCATTGGATTTTATATAGCTATAATTATCAGCTTTAATCAATACTCGTCTTTTGAGAAAAGCTGCTGATATATATATCTATATTGATTCCCTCATTCACATGCCTCAAAGCAATGAATAGTAAAAAAGTCAACTTTATTGTTCACTATTCATCAAAAAGTCAACATTACTATTCATCATGATTCATCCCACCGACAAATTCAGCATAGTAAAAGCTTTAGTCATTCACCGAAAGCAACAGATAACTTCCATGTGCTTCTGATGCTCCTTTCAAGTCAAGACTATTTACTCACAAGGCTCACAGTATTCACTCACAAGGCTAACGGTGGTCTCTTTTGATTATAAAAGGGCCTCTTCAGTGAAGAATAAGGCAGAGTTAGAAAAATTGCGAGCATTCCTTCCTCAAGAAAATAGCTTTCTCTGTAATTTTATAACATTGTTTTCAGTTTACAAATTATGTATTTTGAAGAACTGCTGGCTTCATTCCAGTAAACAATTGTAAGTTTTATTAATGAAGTTATTGTTAAACTGTTTTTTGTTTATTATTATTATTATTTAAAAATAAATAAATAAATAAATATATTTTTTATTTTTTTAAAATTTGTTTTTGCTTTAAATAAATATAAATTATATGAAAATAAGGAGTTATTTTGATTTATTATTTTTTATTGAAAAAAAATGAAGAAATGTGATTTTAAAAATAAAACTGAATACAAATGTAATTTGATGAAAAAGCTACGAATATTCGATCAATTTGATTTTTGGTAAATATATTATACCTGATGTATTTTAAAAAGTGAAATATTCAAATTATCAAAATAACACTCGAAATAGGCCTAAAAGCTACATAACAATGTCTGATGTGTAGGGTGTACAATAATCAACCCCAAGTCCCTCTACTAAGGGGTGATACTTTTGTCCGGTACTAATCTAGATTGAAGAGGCGTTATTCGAGCCTGTAAAATCTATTAAGACTCATATTTTAATAATTCAAACTAGGGCCGCATAAAACACCGCACAATCTGCTAAAATCGCAACGATCTACATCGATGTACACCCTGGTTTAAACTTTAAAATTTATAATCCGATTTTGAAATCGCTCCGTTCTGCTATAGTTAATATATATATATATATATATATTTAACCTATAATGAAATATCAAAATAAAAATGAGTGTAAGAGATATTTAAGATATGAAATTTATTACAAATTAGTAGTTATATAAATGAAAAATATTATATAAAATTTGTTTGAGTTATATATATAAAAATACTATATAAATTAGTGTTATGTATTATTTAAATGCTTGATAATCGATTGGAATATTTTTTAATCCACCAATCTGTCCAAAATGGCTCAAACAACAATTTGTCAATTCGCTAATCCGCTATTCAATTTATAATTTTACTTTTAAACCACCTAAACCGCACCGCATACACCTTTAATTCAAAACCATTCACTTTTTAGAGTCTATGTGAATATTGAGAAGAAAAAAAATTAAATTAACTCTTTTTTATTTTATTTTTCATAAAATTTTGTTGCGGTTGTCATAAAAATTTTATATAAAAGTATTAGGAGGCCAATAATGATAGAGACTACTAATTTTGGAACTCTAAAATATCACTAATGACATAACACTCAATAATAATAAAAAAAAATACAACACCAAGATCAAAACATCAAATAATTCATGATGAAATTCATGAGGAGGCCGTTAAAAGATCGTCCGGACCGAAACCAATAAATCATACTCAAAGCCACACACAGACTTTTATCCGAATTAATGAACGGCACATCACATGCTGTTTCCAAAACCAAACACCTTCTCCTCGGCACCACCGTGGCCCAATTCGACTCACTCCTCCACCACTTCGCCGCCACCAAGTCCCTCGCCACCACCAAGCTACTCCATGCCCACATCATCACCTCCGGCGTCCTCTCCTCCCACCTCCTCTCTCACCTCACCAGAGCATACGCCGCTTGCGGCCATCTTTCTCATGCCCGCAAACTGTTCGACGAATTGCCTCAACCAACCTTACTTTTATATAACATCATGGTCAAAGCATTCACACAGAACGGCTTATCCCACGAGGCGCTCCAATTCTTTGTTGAAATGCTTGCATTGGGTTGTCATCGGCCTGATAAATTCACGTACCCTTTTGTTATTAAGGCATGTGGCGATCTTTCGTTGCTTGAATTGGGCTTTTCGGTTCATGGTTTGACGGTGATTTTGAGAAAAGCTGATTTGCATACGTTTTTGGGGAATTCTTTGTTGGCAATGTACATGGATTGCTGTGAGAAGGAGATGGCCAGGAGGGTTTTTGATAGTATGCGGGAGAGAAGCGTGGTGTCTTGGAACACTATGATAAGTGGGTATTATCAGAATGGGTGTGCTGAACAAGCTTTGATGATTTTCAATGAAATGGTGGATATAGGGGTGGAGCCAGACAATGTCACCGTGGTTTCGGTGTTGCCTGCTTGTGGGTTTCTGAAGGACTTAAAGTGTGGAAGATTAGTTCATGAATTGGTGGAAGAAAATGGTTTAGGAAGCAATATAGCAGTGAGGAATGCATTGGTGGACATGTATGTGAAGTGTGGTAGTATGATTGAAGCACGATTAGTTTTTGATAAGATGGGCGGGAGGGATGTGGTGACATGGACTACCATGATCAATGGCTACATTTTGAATGGTGATGCAAGAAGAGCTTTGATGCTTTGCCCACTGATGCAATTAGAAGGTGTAAGGCCCAATTCAGTAACTGTGGCTTCTCTTCTTTCGGCATGTACCAATTTGAATTTTTTGAATCACGGCAGGTGCTTGCATGGGTGGGCTTTGAGACAAAAACTCGAATCCGATGTTTCTGTGGAAACTTCCTTGATTGACATGTATGCAAAATGCAATGGCATTAGAGTCAGCTTCAAAGTGTTTACAAAGACTTCAAGAAAAAGAACAGTCCCATGGAATGCAATTCTCTCTGGTTTGATTCACAATTCGCTGGCAAGAGAAGCAATTGAACTTTTCAAGGAAATGCTATTGGAAGCAGTGGACCCTAATGCTGCAACCTTGATTAGCCTCCTTCCTGCTTATGCCATGCTAGCAGATTTGCAGCAAGCAATGAACATACATGGTTACCTAATAAGATCCGGGTTTATTTTAAAAGTAGAAGTTGCAAGTGGTTTGATTGATGTATACTCTAAATGTGGAAGTTTGGAGTTTGCTCACAAGATCTTTAATGGGATTTCCATGAAGGCCAAAGACATTATTTGTTGGGGTGCAATAATTGCCGGTTACGCAATGCATGGGAATGGTGAGGTTGCTGTTTCTCTTTTCAATCAAATGGTTCAATTGGGGGTGGAGCCAAATGAAGTCACTTTTACTTCTGTTTTGCATGCTTGCAGCCATGGTGGTTTGGTGGATGAGGGTTTAGGTTTGTTCAAATTCATGCTTGAAGTTCACCAAATGACACCTCGCTCCAATCACTACACTTGTATTGTTGATCTTCTTGGCCGTGCAGGTTGGCTGGAGGAAGCATATGAACTAATTAAAACAATGCCATTCAAACCAAATAATGCTGTCTGGGGTGCATTGCTTGGTGCTTGTGTTATACATGAGCATGTTGAACTGGGAGAGCTGGCTGCAAAGTGGCTTTTTAAGATAGAGCCAGAGAACACTGGAAATTATGTGTTAATGGCTAAAATTTATGCTGCTGTGGGAAGATGGAAAGATGCAGAGAAAACAAGACGTATGGTGAATGAAATCGGATTAAGGAAAACACCAGCTCACAGTTTGATTGAGGCCAGAAATATGTGAGGTTGGTTTAGTTGCTCTGGTGCTAAAACATGATTGAGTCAGCTTCAACTTGAGTACCCCTGAATATTACTTAGAAACAAAGAAAACGAAATGGAATATCCTTGAGAAGTGAAAAGTTCCTACCATACCTAACATCTTTCACCAACTAGAAGAGTAGTTAATTGTGTTAATTGCATATAGTAATGCTTGGGAAGTGGTGCTTGGATCATGCCTTAATGCTCTTTGCTCTACCATGTCCAGTAACTGCATAAGGGGAGGCCAGTGTACGGATTTCAATTGTGAATGCAATCAAGGTAGATTAAATCAATGGTGAAGCGGCATCAGCATCTTCCACCATTGCAGATGTAAGTTAAAATACATATTAATTAATTATAAGAGGCTGTGAGGTCAGTCCAATGAGGCTCTAAGTGATTTAATTTTAATGGAAAGTTTTTATTTGGCATATGACATATTATCTGTGGATGTGCAGGAAATCATTTGGAGAGCATAATCATCATTTGAATATTTGGTGCAGCATGGAGGTCACAAAGGTGGTATAGTTGCATTTAGGTATCATAATCCATTCAAATGAGTTGCAGTAATGGAAAATGTTCTATGTTGCAATGTTTACTAACAATTCAGTGGTTTCAATTTCAAAAAAATATATCAATAGTCTCTATATGAGGGAGTGCAAATAGATCCTTGCTGCCAACTCTAACATAGGCATTGCATTACGTGTGGAATTGTATTGATTTGTACATTTTTCCCTTGGTGATATCATCTTGCTGAGTGTACTGGAAGTTCTGTGAGTTTTTTTTTTTTGGGGGGGGGGGGGGGGGGGGGGGGGGGGGGGGGGGGGGGAGTTGAACTAATAACCCGGTGAACTCTCTTATGACCTGCAACTACAAACATGCCAATCCTTGCCGGTACTCTCTTATGACCTTCACTCCAATGTTTAACCCATTATCACAAGTTGAACTCTCAATATAGTGCAAGTTCTAGCCCTTGTGAGTGCATACCTTCTTCTTAAGGTCCAATGATTCCTTTATACCTTCAAACATTACCGTTAAGAGTATTGTGCAGGTACTTACCTACGTTGCTCTGCCCTTGGTGAGATTGTGTCCGTTGTCCAGCAATTAATCCGTGAGTAATAAGCATTATCCCATTAATTGTAGACTTATCTCTGACCTGCTCCACCCTTTGTCCAGACTTTGCTTATCTGAACACCATGCTTGACCCGATGACTGTCTGGCCGAACGGTGTGGTCTGCAAAATTGCCTCCCACATTTTTGAGGAATTTTATATTATATACAAAACAATGAATGTTCTAACCCAAGGGGAGGGGGAAGGTGAGGCTCAATTTTATACAATACAATGAATGTCTCAATTACCTCCCACATTGAAATTTATGTGTGCAGGAACGGAACTAGGTGAAGATTACGAGGGTATGACCTCCTTGTTTTTGTGAATATTATTGTTTGTTATAGAACTTTAAAAATATATATATATATATATATATATATACTCCCAGTATAAAAAATATATATATGTCATTCTTCCTTCATCTGTTTTACGTAAAAAAAAAAAAAAAAAAATTCATCCTATTAGAAATTGTTCTATGGTATTTTTATTTTTATTTTTTATGTATATATAATTTATATATCATATATATATATACATGTGTGATTTGTGTATATGGTAAAAAAAATATTTTTCTTTTGACCCTCTAATAATAAAATCCTGATTCCGTCTCAATTGGCAATTCATCACTTTCGTCCAATTAGGCTCCGTTTGGCAGGGAGGTTTGGGAGTATTTTAGTCACAAAAGACAAAATAGGTTATTTTAGTTACAATAAACAAAACATCACATCTAACCTATAATCATTACACTCTTCTCTCACAAAAAAAAATTAAAAAGTCAAAAAAAAATTTCAAATTAAAATTTTTAATCCAAATTAAAATAAATTTAAAAAATTAAAAAATCAAAAAGTGAACGTAATTCCCAAACGGAGGCTAACACGGATCAATCATTTTTCTTTCATGATGCAGAGTTAAGAAGCTGTGCTGCGGCATTGACTCGAGGGGCATCCCAGGTCCTGCCTGTCAAACTCTGCTGAAAATCCTGCAATTTCTAACTCTGCTTTCTTGCACAAGGCTCTCTCCAATCCTATTTATTTGCTGAAAATACATATAGAAAATGCTATAGACCTCAAATAAATTATTAAATCTATCACACATACCCATATAAGAGGTTTGATAATTTATTTAATAATTTATTTGAGATCCCTAAAATAACTCAATACTTATTAATGGTTCATTGAAGTGCATCAGTTCATAAATGCCTGACAAGCTTTCCGTAAATCCTTTAATGCAGCAGCTAGTGATAATCAACTCTTCATTCATTAGGCCTGACCTTCAGATTGGTCTCTTCTATATTTTTGCCTCTTGAATTGTGTTTTTTTAATTTATTTATGAGGATTGCCTCTTGAATAGCTGGAAGAGTATGAAACTCCAAACTTTGAAAAGATTCAAAAGAGTATTATGAGTTTTTTTTGCTTCTAAGGGTTTGGATTATCCCTAATTGATTAAACTGTATCCTCTGGCCTGTGGGACCCTCATGGTGCCGCACCAATGAATTGCTTCGTTTAATTTTTAAACCCTTAAATATGTATTATCTATAAAAAAAAATTAGATTGATTTGATAATTATAATTATATAATTGTCATATTTGTTTTAAAAAAATAAATTATTTATTTTCAAAATTATACTTCACCTCTCTTTTTTTAAGATAAATATGATAAAATTTTATAACTACGGTTGTCAAATAATTTTTTTTTTTTTTGTCATGAATGATTTAGCAGCAAAGGTTTAAAATTTAAAGATATGGAGCATGTTCTTTGGAGGGTTAGTATAACCCAAAGAATGGCCCCGTCTGGTAGGGCTGTGAAAAAGGGATTGTAGATTATAATTTAACAGATTATGACATATAACTACGAATATAAGTTGTTTGGTGCAGCTGTGTGATTATGGATTTAAGCAGCTGAATAGTGTTTGTTTAATAAGTGTGTGGGTGAAAATCTGACCACACTGCCCGTTTAGTGATCAGCTGGAGAGCACAAGCAGAATAGATGGCTTAAGCAACCTGAAACAGAAAGAAAAAAGCTCCGGCGGTGGTTCTTCCACCCGGGGCACTCCGACGATCAAGTCAGTATATTTCTCAAAGATAATCAAGTACTAAATTGAATACTCAAAGTATAAGTTACATACCTTAGACCTACGGGGGTGCCTCTCTTTTATAATATACTCAATCCAAGTCCTACTAGAAGTACGACTTCTATGAATTCCAATTTACTGTTTACTCTGGACTCTTCAAGAGATAAAGATAAACTCCCTAAGAGTTTTATCCTTATCTTGGTTAAGTCCCCTCTTTCCCTTAGGACTCTTGCCCTTTATCTCGGATTCCGATATCTTCGGAAATGACATCGGCTTCTCCGTGATTACCTCGGCATAGACTACCAAGGCACGTGGCACCTTGGCTGATACGTCGGCGTCACCATGCCACGTGTTGGTATTCAGAAAATATATCCCCACAATAAGCCATAAAATAACTTTTTATATGTAATTAACCTTTTTGCCCTTATATAATATAAAAATGATTATTTTTTCATTTTTTTCAGATTTAATTTAAAAAAATTATTTCATTAATAAAAGTTAATATAATTAGTATTACAAAAAATTATCATTTTATTAATAGTATCACTTAGTGTAATTTTTTTTTTTTTTTCATTATAAATTAATTAGTGTCAATTAATAGCTTAATTAGCATCAATTAATACTAAAATTATTAAATAATACCAATTAGTATAATTTTTTTCATTTTTTCATTATAAATTAATTAGTCTCAATTAATACTAAAATTATTAATATTATCAATTAGTATGATTTTTTTTTTCATTTTTTCATTATAAATTAATTAGTCTCAATTCATGGCGTAATTAACATCAATTAATACTACAATTATTAATAGCACCAATTAGTATAATTTTTTTTCATTTTTCATTATAAATTAATTAGTCTCAATTAATGGCTTAATTAGCATCCATTAATACTAAAATTATTAATAGTACCAATTAGTATAATTTTTTTTTCATTTTTTCATTATAAATTAGTTAGTGTCAATTAATGGCTTAATTAGCATCAATTAATACTAAACTTATTAATACTATCAATTAGTATAAATTTTTTTTTTCATTTTTTCAGTATAAATTAATTAGCATCAATTATTTTTTTTATTCATTAATTATTATTGTTTTAATTAACAAAACAATGAAAACATCCCCACACAAAAAAAAAAAAAAAACTGAAAATCCTAGCTCCGGCGGAACAGCGGCGATGAACTAGAGCTAAGGTTTCAGACTAATCCACAGAAAGAGAGAGAGAGTTGTCACGCTGGCAGCCCCTTCTTCTCCTCTTCCTCCTCCTTCTTATATCACTGTCGGTGTGGATCATGAAGAGGGAGAGAGAGCTAGGGTTCACGCTATCGATCGCGAAGAGAGAGAGAGAGAGCTAGGGTTCACACTATTGATCGCGATGGTTCACATCGTGATGGTCAAATCGCGATGGAAAGCAATCAAAGAACACTGGAGAGAGAGAAAGAGAGAGAGCAACGCCGGAGAAAGAAAGAGAGAGAGAGAGAGAGAGAAGAGACAGAGCTTTGGTTGCCTGAAATCGACCTGTTCGTCGAAAATCGCCTCTCCCGGTTTGTGTGAGAGAGAAAAAATGAGTGTTGCTGGTTTTTATACATGGCACACTTGTAATTAGCATCAATTGGGAAGGGCATTTAAGTCATTTTATGCCCCTCATTTTAGCTTCTCGCATAAGCTCAAATCAGAAGCACCGCTGGGGCTACTTATAGGTTTAAGCTCAAAATAGTTTAATGAAAGTTATAATCTATCATTTTAAGTTTTATCAAACACATCAAAATAACTTAATTTAAGTTAAAAATTGATTTAGACTGTTTTTAAGTACTACCAAACAGGCCTAATATAGCATTGTGAAACAAAAAAAACAAATAGATTAGGAAATTTAACAACTTGTTAACAAGAAAACAAAAAATAAAATAAAAGAGGGGTTGATAGTTATATGACTAACTTGAAAATGAGAAGTCCATCGATCAACTATTCTGTAAGGCCATTGCCTCCACTTTACTGATACAACAAACCATGTGCTATTGACTTTTTTTTGCCTTTTTTTCTCAATTAGGGATATGCTCTTCAATGGATCCACAGTGTTAAATGCGAGTGGGACGTGAGGATGCTGCTATGTCACAGTAGCGATCGCCTGTGAATTGGTAGAGGTTTTTTATTTTTTATTTTTTTATAATTTAAACTGTTCTTATTATAAGATTCGTCAAATATATTATTCATATAAAAATTAAATTGCTCATAAATCTATAACTTCATGATTAGATTCAAATTATTTTACAAGTATCAAGATAATTTTAACCGTTTATTTTTTTTAAAACAAATGTGTTATTGTTATAAAGTTATAGATTTTCAATCAATTTAATTTTTATATGAATAATGGGGGATGCACCAATAAATCTCAAATTAATAACTTATACACTGTTTAGTCCTAAAAGTTTTCTTATAGACTGAAAGGTCCCATTACAATGTTTCGAACATCAGATTAATGTTTTGAACATTAGATTCCAAACGTCAGATTAATGTTTCAAACATTAGATTGATGTGCAAATGGGACTAAATGTAGCATAAGAAAACTTTTAGGACTAAATGGATCAACTTTTCAAAAACTAGGACTTATAGGTAAATTTTTCATGAATAATCTATTCAACAAATCAATATTATGACCGGTTTGAATTATTAAAAAAACTTAGAAAAACTTTCCACCGACTCACAGCCGATCAGCATCCCCAGGTCCATGTGAGTGTGAGTGTGAGTGTGTGGGAGGGAGAGAGAGAGAGAGAGAGAGAGAGAATTGGAGAAAGTCTTGTATCACATGATAGGCGCTCATGTGTCTTAAATTTTTATGTCTCATATCACCCAGAATTATTGAATTTATTTAAAGATTTGTACACTTTAAAATTTTTATATAATTTGATAAACATAATTATTTTGAAATATAAAATAAAGAGTCTTAAAAAAGTAAAAATTAATTTATTCTGTTTTGTTATGTTTTAGTGGTCGTCTGAGGTTTATTTTTTGGTGACTTTTTTTTAAAAAAAAATTTAGAAGCTCAAAGAGTTATTAATATGTTTGGAAAGTTGCTAAAAGTATATTTTTTGTGAATGAAAAAGATATTATATTTGACTTTTTTTAACTGATTACAAATAACTTAGCGATTTTTTGATTTTTTAAACCAAAAGTTGGCTTTTTAGGCTTGACCCCAAACGACCCCTAAGCATTACCAAACGGCACCTTAATGTTTCAGAACTTCACATAAAGCTCTAATAATATGGTAAGGAGTGAAACTCATATGTGATATGATATATATACTTACGTTTTTTTTTTTTTCTTTTCTCTTGTCACACTACTAAAACTCTTTTTAGAGTTCTAAAATTAAAACTCTCTATCGTTTTAGTTATTTAAAAGTAGGTTTCACTTTAGTTTAAATTTGAACTTGAAAAAATGTAAGTGGCTTGAGGTTCACTAGGGATTTCGTAATTCAAAACCGTTCATTGTGTTTAGTTTCAATTTTCTGGATTCAATTTTTTGAAAATTAAGTTTTTGTTTTTAATGAATATTTTTAAAATTTTAAGTAATTTTTAAATTTTTGTAGATACACCTTACTTAGATATATTTAAAAAGTAAAATATTTATAAAAATATATTTTAAAAGATCAATAAATACACAAAAATACAAAAATATATATATTAAATTCTCATATTTTTTGTATTTTTTGATATTTAGTGAATTTTTTTTAAAAAAATTCACAAATATTATACTTTTTAAATGTATTTATGTTAGATGTATCTAAAAATTAAAAAATAAATTGCTTAGAACATTAATAAAATTCAGTGAAAACAAAAAAATATGAAAAACAACAAATTTTGATTTTTTTAAAAAGTGAATCCTGAAAAATCAAACCAAACAAGCTGGTTAATTTTATAGGGTCTTCCGTGTATATCATTCTATGGAGAAAAAAAATAACCGCAATCTTTTTATATTATTGCATTTGGGTAAAAAAAAAAATATAGATGATTAATTTAAAAAACATATTTGTTGGTTTTTTTTTTTTTGAGCTAATTCTTTTTTTTTATAAAACAAACACGATAAAATGAATGTCAACCAGATTTGCTTATGTTAAAAAGTCATTACAAGTTTAAAAGCTAAAAATATACCCAAAAAAAAAAAAATTAACTTATTTTTTTGTAGTTATTTTTTATAAATTTATTTTTAGTCAATAAATTAACTCATTAACTAACTCTTAAAGAAAACTTGAGTGTAAAATACAAATAAACACTTCACATTTTAATTAATTAGAAATTAGAATATATATATATCTTTCATTCCATATCATTTTTTAGTTTC